TTTTCAACACTACTAGCGGATTGGTTCTGCCAGCAGCCCAGTCAATCCCTACACGGTTCGTTCATTCGTTCCAACAAAAGCTTTCATGAAACTTTATACTATTCGCAGTAGTACGCCTTCGCTTCCTAAAGTAGTGCGATAATTTGTTTTTCCATCTACGTAGCTGGCAACTTTTTCAGTCCCTTTGACTAATGTTGCGTTGCCTGGTTAGCCTGTTGTTGATTTGTTCATTAAAATGATGCGTTTATGGTTGCCTACAAATCAAAAAGTTTTGAACGGATTATGAACTGAAGTGTCCAAATTACAATTTTAGATGTTTTTAAATAAATGCGGCTTTTTTTCCAGCAATTTGCGATTATTACTGAATTTCTTGTCAACGGGTCACTGTTCTCGCTGCTGCACGAGCAGAAACTGTAATTTTTTTTTTTTTTTCTTAAAACTAAAACTTTCCTCAGAACTTATTTGCATGAAAGTATCGTAAATTTGTATCGGCACATTATAAGGTGGCATGTTCTCTTCATCTTGCTTCTCAAGCAATCCTTGCATCGAGAGCGAGAGCAAAGAGATGCACTGAGATAAATCCAGAGCTGATCGATGGATCAGCTAATGTGGGAAAGGGTTTGACTGCTTGCTTGGTTTCTTGATAAGTTTTTGTTCTATAATTTATTTTCTTCTGTCTGTTTCTCACATATTTTGTTTTAGGACAAAACCCACACGTACCAAGACAAAACCCAAAACAACCGCAAAGCCTTTATCTCATATTATATACATATAATTGAAATTATATAACTAATTGCATACTTAAGATTTTTTGCTCCCTTCTTTATCATTTCAGTTTATATCTTACTTTTGTTTATTTAATTATTTGCTTCATTATGTATGCGAGAAAATGTGCTAGATCAAGTAATTTTGAAAAATAGTGTGCTCGAGATGGCGCTACGTTTGAACATTGGTATTGACGTGGCACGTGGTATGCGTTATTTGCACGAACTCGCTGCACGCCCAGTAATCCATCGCGATCTCAATTCGCATAATATCCTGTTGCATGAAGATGGCCATGCGGTTGTGGCAGATTTCGGTGAATCACGT